TTATAAAAATGTTTTGGTAAGACGTTACGATAATTCAAATCCTTTGCAGATATTACAAAAGCTTTATAATGCACCTTCTAAATCTGTATCTTCTATATACTTTTACTCTTTTTTATTTTACATTGTGTCTGTGTTGTCTGTATGTACTTATCATGCACTCAGAATATTTATTGTCTCACAATTCGATGCAAATAACTAATAAACACAATACCCAGACTCAGAGAGGACAAACAGATAGCCTACATGTTAACAATGACGTTTATTGTGCAGAAGCAGATCAAACAGGTGAGGACTGAGATTAAGCACGTGCCCACACAGAATAAATCACAGTCTTTGTCTTTAGCAGTGTGTGTGAGACAGCAGAATGGAAAGATGGATCGCACACCTTGTTTGGGTAGTGGCAAGTTAGCAGGTATCTTTCACTCACACTGGTAATCAGGACTGAATCTCTCATTTATGTGGTTCAGGTAACATCATTTTCGAGTTAAATTTCGAGTTTCTGTTGATTAAACCAATCTCCCTCATTGTATTTACTTACATTTTTTCATTTCAATGAACTCAAAACCTTATTTTTTAAACCAACAATATTTTTTGCTCAAACAAAACCAGACAATGTGTGTATTCGAGGAGTGTGTTTTTATCAGTGATGAGGTATGCTCAGTGACATGTTCGGGTGATGGCTAAATGAGTGCAGGTGAGAACCAGGAGGGATGCTGGGAAATGTAGTCTAGAGTGTGAATGAGGGAGAGTAGTGGAGAAGGACCGGAGCATTCCTGATATAACATGACTTGATTTCATTGTTGTTGTTGTTTTTTCTAAATTACCCAAAACGTACTATAAAACAATGTACCATTTAAATGAACCACACAAGAAAACAAAAAAACTATGTTCTCTATAGGGACAAAAAGCTATTTGTACATTTCTCAGACTATCCCTACATTCACTTTCAAATATCCTGGACTTTATAGGTTCAGTAAATATCAGAGGTTTTTATTCCTCAAATCCTCGAATTCACCAGACACGGTCAAAATGAATAATCTTTATCCATGCTTGAAAGAGGTTGCTGGCGTACACCTGACCTGAGGCATGGGAGAGGCATGCTGCTCATAATAATACGCCTGCGCCACCTGGTGTCGACAGAGGGGAATGGTGGCGCTTCTTATGACATCTTCCCATCACATGAGCTTTAATCGCTAAGAAACTTATCGGATTCTCTTCTTGTTCATTAAATGTTTAGTATGGATGGATGCACTGGTAAATTCCTATGGTCTCAGTCGTACAAATAAACACTCAGAAAAGAACAGTGCATTAGTCTACCGCACAGCTCTGTGCTGTGCCAGCGCGTCGCGCCTCCGCAGGGCTCGTTGTGATGCATGACGCATCGCGCTGGTTTTGACATTCACTGAGCTTCCCTCATTAAGCGCTCTCACCCGGCCCGCGGGTTGTCATCGAGGCATGGGGCGAACTGAAGGATCACCAGTCCGCCGAGCGGACAGAACACGGCTGAACTCTCTCAAAGGAGCAGCTGCTGTGACACAAGTGTTTATCCTGTCGAACGGATGAACAAACCGATACGTTCAGTGAAAGGTCCCACATTCCTCAGCCAGTGTCGACTAATCAAACGATGTGTCATGATGAAAGCATTTAGAAATTGACATTTAGATCAACGTTTAAAGTTTTAAAGTGTTGGTTATTTTAAAATGACCTTTGGTTCTGTGGGATTTTGGTAAATATATTACGTGTTTGATAATAGGCCTATTCTGTGATGAAAATGTCATTTTAAAGTCAACATCATAATATCAAAATTGCTCATCCTCATTTTATAATATCACAGTGTTTATTTTAAATGATTTATCAATGCATATCAATCATTATTTAATGCAGGAACATCTCTTCTCCTCTCTGATGACGTGGCTTTCTCACACAGTTCAGTTTTTTCTTTTACCTGCGCCTCATCCTTGGCGATCACATGACCCACTGAATTAACCTCCTTAAAGGAGTTGTTCACTTTTAAAAAAACGTTTGCTGATAATTTACTCACCCCCATGTCATCCAAGATGTCCATGTCTTTCTTTCTTTAGTCGAAAAGAAATTAAGGTTTTTGATGAAAACATTCCAGGATTTTTCTTCATAATGCACTTTACTGGGCACCAAACGGTTCAAGATCCAAAAGACAGTTTCAGTGCAAACTGCAAACTGTTCAAAGGGCTTTAAACGATTCCAGACGATGAATAAGGGTCTTATCAAGCGAAACGATAGCTCAATTTAAAAAAAAAATAACAAAGTTTAAGTTTTATAAGCTCAAATGGTCGCCTTGCTCTGTTCTGTGATGCACGTCGACTCTCCTGTTCGAACTCGTTCATCAAAATGAACGAATCTTTTTCAGAGTCAATTCATCCATTTCGTTCGTTGAATGAACCAAATGACTCGAAAAAAGATTCGTTCATTTTGATGAACGAGTTCGAACAGGAGAGTCACGAACACGCATCACAGAGCAAGGCGACCATTTGAGATTATAAAACTTAAACTTCGTTTTTTTTTTTTTTTAAATGAGCGATCATTTCGCTTGATAAGACCCTTATTCATCGTCTGGAATCGTTAAAAACCCTTTGAACAGTTTGCAGTTTGCACTGAAACTGTCTTTTGGACCTTGAAATGTTTGGTGCCCTGTAAAGTGCATTATATGGAGAAAACTCCTGGGATGACATGGGGGTGAGTAAATAATCAGCAAAAGTTTTTTTTTATTTTTTTTATGGGGGTTCATTAAGGTTTATTAAGGTTTAAGTATTACATTGTAAAATACAGGCATCCCATGATACCGGAAACATTGTCACATTATTTTTTATAATTCGATTTTCCCAGCCACATCAGATACCAATTTTTTACTGTCAATTTAAGGTTGGACATAAAATTGCTCAAAGTAAAAGAAAAAAAAAAACACCCTTATGTCACTATAAAAGTTCTGTAGCTGCAGACTTCAAATCCTGTTCCTACAGCGTCATATTTTTGTTAGATTAAAATGAGCTCTATATGCTAAGAAATCAAATACCCTAGAATATAACTAGGCCCAATCTACACACACTGGACAGTTACATTAGCACTAAAGTGTGGCAGTACATGCCTTCATTAGAATGGGCATGCTGAATATTTCTACTCATTCCTCTGACACTGAATACACACACAAGTTCATGAATTTCTGTTCAGATGCCAGACTATGCACACGGACTGAAATGCAAACAGACAGAGTAGACACATGAGAAAAGATTCAAGGTCTGACTTTTCTTTGTGGAGCTGGCCACTGGTCAGAGGATGTGCGAAATAAACACTCCACTGAGAGATGGCATTGTGACCTGCTGCAAGGGGAATAAGGTCATGTTATCAATGTGAAATGTAAACACATCTACACAAGGCTATATTTGAGCATTTCGCTGTATGTGTGTGTGCCAAATCACAGCATTTTTTTAGCATACATGTTACATAATTACTATGATGAGTCCTTGACCCTGTTCTTCAGGGCTGTGGTGTGGAGAAACAAATTAAAAACAAAATGTTTTACACATTTCTGATAGAACTAAATTCCTACACGTCTGTGCGGCCCTGCTGAGCAAACAAGTGTTGAAATGAATCAGCTTCTGCAGCTGAGACTTTACACACGCTGAGAGAACAGACTTCCACAATAATCTGATTACTCATCCCTCATGTGATTAGCCTCCAGAAGTTCTTGAAGATTCCCAGTGCCCTAGTGTTAACTAGTGCACACGTTAACACATGTAGCTTGATCCATTCATGCCCAAATACCAAATCTCTTTCTCTCACAGCTTCTCTCAAGCAATTAACTCTCTGGTGCTCCTCATTTGGGGGTCACACTTGTGGTCTTCGCAGTCAAATGTGACAGAACCCCTGAAATGTGCATATTTCTCTGCGTCGTGGCTGATTTGTAGATTGTACACACACATTTTTTCCCTATTCCCATTCATTTTGGCGGTACAGAATCCAATAGCACAAGTGTTTTTATACCAAGTGCCATAAAAGTCACCAAGTTTCGTACCATTCCGATGCAGCTAAGATTTTTACAAATTCAAAATGTCACATTTTTCAGGGACTGAAGAGCACTTAGAACATTCCTAACTTTTTGAAACAAAATTACTCCTTAACAAAAACAAAAAGCATTTTGATTTTGGAATTTAAAGTTGGCATAGTATTTTCTTCCCTTTCAAGATTTCATGAAACGGCACCTTGAACAGGAAAAAGTGGATTTAATTTTGTCTTGGAAACGTTGGATTTTTGTGGATTGCTATTGGTCGAGCTCAAATGACTGACAGGTTGCCCCGCCCTCTCGCCAGTAAACATGTAAACAAGTAGGGTTAAGTTCTTTTGATAAAGATTATGAGGCCACGGGAATTTTTTAATAATAATACAAAAAATATGTACACAAATAAATAATTTATAATTAATAGGCTAATTAATAAGAATTGTCCATTTTGATTTCATGGTGAGTTAGTTTAAATCAAGATAGCCTCAAAACAGAAATGCTACCTCTCTCTCTCTCTCTCTCTCTCTCTCTCTCTCTCTCTCTCTCTCACACACACACACACACACACACACACACAAACGCACGCACGCACACAGCACAGGAAACAGATTTGTTGATGTCACAGCACTGGGCAAGTGGGCATGTCCATCTGACAACACTAGAGGATTAACAACACTTGTCTTTGCATTCACTCTGATTCTTTACTCAGTTAACGTTAGTCCTTCTATTATTTAGGAACAGCGGGTGTCTGAGGAAACCCTGACAAAAGATTGTGGTAAGGACGATAAAGGTAAGGGCATAAATAAGATACAGGTGCTATCACTGCCATACATTGTGAAATTGTGTCCAAGCGCTGAATAGCCTACTTGCGTGCACATCGGCTAGTACTTAAGTTAATCCTGTTTGTAATGTAACAAACCCATTTAAACTGTAGCGAATGCAGTGTAAATTCCATTTTGTGAACTTTTCGAATAAAATATGAGTAAACATTTCTGATATGGGGTAAATATATGCTTCGGAGTGAATTTTACAGAGCGTTGGCTGGCCGTGTTTGGTTAATGCACACCTGCTGCACGTGCGTTTGGCGATTAGTTCTCATGGGAAATTGATGTGTATTACTCCGCTCTGCCTTGATGATCAGCGGCAGGGAGGCGTGAAGGAACACTCACGCCCAGTTATAATAAAACTAAAGCTTCAACTTAGTGAACGAGCACCAAACACACCCAAAGGCGTTGGCTGACTAACATTATTTTTAATTTTCGTCACTTTCGAGATGGGTGAATTTGATTAATTTAACTGTTTTTTTGTTTTACTCTCCAGGCGGGAATTTGCAATCAGTTGTGATTCGGACGTCATTTTGTTTGTGAGGGCAAGTTGAAGTTTCACAAACAGGGCCATAAAAGCAATTTTTCAACAGTTATCAAGGTTTTGTACGTGTTGGTCTGCACTTTAAAACATTGGTTTGTGTTCTTTCGTTATTTTAGAACATTAATTCGTAATATAAAATCTAATATAATAATAATACAATATAGTCACTTTTGATCAATTTAATGCATCCTTGCTGAATTAACAATATGAATTCCTTTTTTTTAACTTACTGACCACAAAGTTTTGAACGGTAGTGTAAGTATTTGCTTGTCTGCTGTTTTGTAGTTTGTGAGTAAATTGTTGGACACAGCTGATTGCGTTTTAATAAAGTAAATAATTCTATAAATTTCTAAAGTTGGATATTATTTGGAGAGTGCTTAAAGACAATTAATGTGTTAAAAATAACAAAGTAAGTACCTAGTTTTAAAGTTCAAGCAAATTCGAGATATCACATATTTATTGCTGTAAAGAACATGGGATTTGTGCTTTTTCTGCTTTTAAAAAGGTAAAGCAACTACAGTAAAATCTGTTTCCGGTTTACAGTTGATGGAACACTCCTGGAAATTCCCCCTGCACAGCCCTAGCTGAGACACAGAGGGGCTTTTTTCACACAGGTTGGTGATGTGATTCATTAAAAAGCATTCTGTCATGAGTATGTAACAGTGGATGCCATAAATGCCTCTCTTCCAAAGAGAACTACCACTAGAAAGGCAAATCCTTGAGTGGTTGTATCTGGATGGGTTTTCTCTCATAATTTCTAATTGAAAAAAATAATGTAGGGTGTTCTCCGAATGACCTAGCGATTTCTTTTTCTGCTTCATCAATAGGACAACCCAAAATCTACAGCATCACCTGTCTGTCCTTCATACTACCTACAGCACACACCCATGGATCCCCAAGAAGATCTCATAGACCGGGACATCCCTCTGACTGTACTGCTCCCAGGAGGACAGGAGACCACAGCCACAGTGCATGGCAGGTGAGCGAGAAGGAGAAAGTAAAGGTGAAAGGTTCACCAGTCCTTTCATTGGAATGAATGTCTGGTCATATTTAAATCCAGCTGTATGTGTTTGTGCTTGCAGTAAACCTGTTATGGATGTTCTGGTGGCGTTGTGTGCTCAACACCACCTCGTTCCATCGGATCATGTCATCAAGCTTTTCTCCACAAATCAAAACTACATCAATTTCAAACCCAACTCCATGATTGGCTCTCTTGAGTTTGAAAGAGTTGTCCTGCAATCCAAAGAAAGTGATGCTAACAAGAAAAAACCTCATATTCCTGTGGTAAGTCTGATCGAAAGCCATGATTTGTGGAGCGCAGTAGAGAATCGTGCATATTTTGACAGAGGGTCTGTCTTCATTGCTGAAAAATCCAGCATTGCTGGTCACCGAAAATAGGGTGTGTTTTACATTCTGGATAAGCTATATACTGTACCAGTCTGGACCAACATTGAATTTGTGCTGGATTTTTCAGCAGGGTTGTCTTATGTCACATTAGACCTGTCATAAAAAATTTTAAGTTGAAAATTGATTTTTCCAGGCAACAGTTCGTCTTCTGATAAACTACAAGATGTCCTTTAAGGCAGTAGCACGGGTCAATCCTTCAGTGCCGCTGATTGAGTTAATGCCCACCGTGTGTGAGAAGTGCGAGTTCAACCCTGATGCCACAGTCTTACTAAAGACATACAAATCAGAGGAAACCCTGGATCTCACCAAAACACTGAATGACTATGGAATCAGGGAGCTGTATGCCAAGGAAATGAAAGGTCAGCAAAAAAGGAAAAATAGGGTGTACAAGCACTGTAGTGTAATTATGTAACACTGTTGCATACTATGTACTCAAAAGCTTTTTTGTTGCGTATTAAAGTAATATTAATCTTTTGGAGTTGTGTGATATTTTTTTCTTCTTACAGTGGAACCAGCGACTCCTCCTGTTGATCCTGTATCAACTCATAAAGGTACCAGAAATAGAAATAAAGTCGCAGTTGCGAGAGAATTAAAGTCGCAGTTGCGAGAGAAATAGTCGCAGTTGCGAGAGAAATAGTCGCAGTTGCGAGAGAAATAAAGTCGCAGTTGCGAGAGAAATAAAGTCGCAGTTGCGAGAGAAATAAAGTCGCAGTTGCGAGAGAAATAAAGTCGCAGTTGCGAGAGAAATAGTTGCATTTGCTAGAAAAATAAAGTCGCAGTTGCGAGAGAAATAGTGTCGCAGTTGCGAGAGAAATAAAGTCGCAGTTGCGGAAAAAAAAATTTTTGGTCTCAGAATTGCATGTTTATCTCGCAATTCTGACTTCATAACATGAAATTGCGACTTTATACCACACAATTCTAACTTTATATCATCCAATTGCGTGTCAAGTCAGAAGTGTGAGATATAAAGTGTTTTTTTTCCTTAGAAATGGACTTTATAACTCGCAATTGCAAGTTTATGGACTTTGAAACTCGCAATTGTGAGATGAAGAAGTCGCAATTATCTTTTAAAATGTTTTATTCTGTGGCTTAAACAAGCTTCCATATAAAAAAAGCTAATTTTGTAGCACAAAAATTTTATATATCTCTTTAATATAGCACTGAACAAACCATTTCTGCACTGCTCAGATTTGTCCACAAAAGTATATGTTTGATCTATGAGGCTCTTTTGTGTGTGTCCAGGTGGTGTCAAAGAAAAGAGCATCAGAGAGAAGGAAAACAAAGGTTTCTTTGGTTTATTCAAGAAGAGCAAGAAAACACATGAGCAGGTTTGTACACCTGTCAGTCTGTCTGGTTTAGCAGTCTGTGCAACCTGCTGGTTGTCGTATTCAGGAAACGATGGGGGGATGGGGGGTATCATAACTGAACTGTAACACTGTGAAACACTTGCGCAGGTCCACCCATCTGTCTCTGCATCTGTTTATCTTTCAGTTTAGCCTTTGCATCTGCTTATCTGGGAATGCAATTTGCATATTGAAAGTAATTTCAAATTCTTGCTCTTATGTTTTATTTATTTCTTCTTCAGGCTGTGACTGACTGTGCTTCAACATCTCTTGAACTGAACGGCCAATGTTCGGTCAGGGTGAATGGTCATAACGGCTGCTCGACCTTACCAATGGTCCCTGCCGACATGGCAAAGAAGAGACCCGCACCAAAGCCTCCTATGACGGCGTCCCAGAGTGTCGCCTGTGGACTTCACACCAGAGACTTTTCTGACCTATCAGAAAGTGACCCTGCTGGAAAACAGGTGTGAATGCTTTGAGCATCTCCAGTCCAAACCTGAATTAGCTTGTGTGTTATTAATTTGCTGATGTAGCAATTAAATGGAGGGTTAAACTACACTGTTAGCATTTAAATTGTTTTGATTTTATTTTTTTAAAACTTTAATCCTTTTAACTTCAGCCCTGTTAAATTGAGTTGTATTATTGGTCCTCCAGTATTCATATTAGCATGCATTAATGTTATTTTTAGTAAAATAAAATAGCATTTGTATGTTTCTGTGGCATGTTCTTAAATTTTTGTGCAGTATGTATCAGGGTTATTATCATTAACTAAATCTTAAAAAAAATGAATAAAATAAAAATATTAGATGGAAAAACCTAAAAATAAACTAAGATTAGACGTGTTGGCTTGGTAACTAACTGAAAAGTTCAAGCACTAAAATTACTAACTGGAAATACATAAATAAATCTGAACTAAATCTAAAACTGAAATAAAAAATAAATTGAACCTAAATAGTAGTATTAAAAAATAATAGGAATAAAAATGACAAAAGCACATACAGTAACACTTTCAAAAAATAAAATAACAAGAGCTTATTAAAAATATTCATATATAATATAATAGTGTACAAATTATAATACAAATGAACAGAAACTCATTAATTGGAAACTCATGAATTAATTCCAAACGTAACCTCTGTGCTTTGCTTTGCTCAGGATCTGCTCAGTCCCATTTCTTCCACTGAGTCCACCCTTAAAAGGACTAAACGGAGAGCTCCGCCCCCACCGGGTTATGGCCCCGCCCCATCCAATTCAGATAACAAAGGTATGTATTCATTTTTATATAATTTTATATCTTATATAAAATTCAGACTATAGAAGTTATTTTAACTTCTGGCAGGTCACGTTAGTCAAGCTATCTCTCATAGGCGTCGCCCAGTCAGGATTTGGCATTCTGATTCCCCCTTGAATCAGACTGAATTTTCAAATTAGGTTGTACGTTAAAAAAGGGGGGGTTATCGCTGCTCTCCCTGCTCTTGTCCATGTTAGGCTGCATGTATGTGCATCAGAGTTCTCGCCCAGAACAGAAACACACTGCCAATCCAAGTATGCTAATTTTCAATCGTATTGGACTAAAGTGGTCCTGACGGAAGTTGCAGTTTTCTGTGTTAATGCATTTGTGAATACTTGTGTGCCTGCTAGTGCTAGTTTCCTAGACACATACTGTATGCTATAAAATATCTGCATAAATTCTTGCACTGCTCTGCTGCACTCCATTATGCAGGATATTATGCTAAGATGACAAAGTTTTACATTTTCAGTCTGGTCTGCCATGTCAGTGTCAAAATGATTGAGATGGCCAATCGAATGACTATAGAGATGTCAAATTACTACTGTTTTTTTCCTCAAATGGCCATTTTGAATTGAAAATAAGCTATCATGATTCATGTAATTCCTAACTGAGTGTGACGAGACAAGAAACGTTTTATGCTAGACAAACAAAAGAAAGTATATGTGTTCATATTTTAATACTTTTAAAGGATTATTTGCAAATGGGTCAAAATAGTCCCCTGCCCCTAATGTTCAAGACATGGGCTGCATCCAAAATCACATACTTCCCTACTGTGTAATAGGTGAAAAACAGTATGTGACAAAAGAAGTATGTCTGAATTCACAGTACTCATAAGTACACAGTACTTTCTACTTCCGGCGAGATTCAAAAGTGAGTAAGATGGACACTTTACTATCCCATGAGGCAATGGGAGAGGATTTATGAATGCCTGTGAATAGTGGGTCACATGGTAACGATAACATGCCGAATTTAGTAAATCCAGGTTACATTCATACTATATAGAACATGCTTTTTTAGCGACCGTGAAGTACAGTATTTACTTATTTTGATTTCGGACGCAAAGGGATAGTTCACTTTGAAATTAATTTTTGATATGTTTTAGCTTACCTCAAGGGGATCCAATATGTAGGTGTCTTTGTTTCCAAAGTATTTTCAATTTTGATATTTTTAAGCCATTCAGTCAGTCATATAATGGAGTTTTAGGGGGTCCACCTCAAAGAGCATGCACAGAGAAGTCCAGATTAAACATGATTTAATGTCTCGTAAATGTAAATACTTGTACACATTGATGGCCTAAGACACGAAACAGACCGAAGCGCCTGTGCCTTCAGATCACTTGGACGTGGCTGTGGTTACAAGAGGTAAAACGATATAAATACTGTTCGTTTTCTCACAAACCGCTCGTTTCGTGTCTTAGGCCATCAATGTGTACTTACATTTACGAGTCATTAAATCATGTTTAATTTTGACTTCTCTGAGCATGCTCTTTGAGGTGAACCCCATAGACCTCCATTATATGACTGACAGACAAGAACGGTTTGACCTAAAAATATCAAAATTGAAAATACTGTGGAAACAAAGACACCTACATCTTGGATGCCCTTGAGGTAAGCTAAAACATATCAAAAATTAATTTCAAAGTGAACTATCCCATTTTTTTTGTTTGTTTGCTTTCCCACAACTGTTGGATTAATTATTTGCTCTTGTTTTACACTGTCCTACCAGGAGGGGGCGCCTAGCAGGCAGCACATCCTTTCCTCCTCTTCTCCTCCATGCTTGCTTCTCTGTTCCTGCTCTCGTCGGTGATGGGCTTATTTTCCTCTGTTTTTACATAGCCTTTTGTCTTATGCACTGTCTTGTCTGTTGTTTAAACCGGTTCCCTTTTTTAATATCACTCTCTGGCTTAGACCGTATAAAGGTTGAAATGTAATGTGATGTGTTTAGCAGGAAAATCTGTTGTGCTTTCTTACAATAATTGTGCCTTAATTCAGGGAGGTGTACGGCTGCTCAGTTAGACACCGCAACTAAAGATGGTTGTAATCAGTCTTTGGTATTTTTATCCATATAATTGCATTCAGCTTTATTAAATGTCAATCATGTCGATGTCTTTTTTAAGATGTTAGGTCAAAAGGGATGCTTTTAAGAGTTTCTTAAATTATTCACATCAGCCACAAATATTTTTCTTTTTTTTAATTAAAGCTGTTTTGTTTGTTTTTGTTTTTTGCTTTTAATTAGAATCATTTTAATGTCATATTTGTCTTTTAATTTTGTGTGTGCTTGTCTTTTGTGTTCTTCATATTTATTAAGTTGTTTGTTTTTTGTCTTTTGCCAAATTAACTTTTGAAATTCAATTTGCTAATACCCATTCATATTTGAATAAATAAAAAATATATACTGTACACTTTGCTGTTTGTTGGTGCTGTATTAAGAGGTGGTTTTTCACAGATAAACACGACACACTCGTGAAAACATTTGTGTCTTTGTCATAACACTTTGTTTCGCTTCAGTAGATGAAGCTCAAGCGGACATCAAGCGTTCAGACAAACACAGAGCTCGCATAGCTGACCAGTGCCCTGCAATCACTAAAGTTATGAGCGAACTTGCGCAATCTCTGAAGACACGGCGACAGAGAATGCTGTCTTCAGAAAAGTATGTTCATGATTTGCACTTCCTTAGAAATGTATAAATTGTCTGGATGGTTTGTGTGAGTGTTTCAGTCAGATAATATCAGCCAGGAAACCATTTCACAAAAGTTATTATTTTTCTAAAATTGAATATCTTCCTATTCAATTTCCTCTAGTTCCCCTATATCCCAGAATCAACCAGCAGAAGATGCGTCTACGGGTTTGTTTTCGGAGCATCACACCCCTGAGGCTGAGCTTAAGGCACTTCCTGGCTGTCAGCTGCTGAGGAGCCCCTTTGAGAGCGAGGGTTTGACCACTTTCACCGTGGTTCCCTTGAGACGTCAACAGAGCAGGCGGTGCTTAGATCTGCCACTGGCATTACAGTCATCCGCTGCTACTAAAGACCTGAGTCCTGGAGACCCGGATGCCATTGAGACCCACACCACAGAGCTTTTGGAGAAACCCCCATCTGAACTTTTCAGGGATGAGGGCAAGGGTTCAGACAAAAGTGAGCCCTTATCAGGGGTTATACATTTACAGCACCTGGAGAAAGAGAATCAAGCTTGCAAGGACATTGAGAGTGAGAATTTGGAGCTGAAATATGATGAGGACCAATGTATTCATGAGAGCTTAGAATCACTACAAAGGGGACTAAATAATCCAGAACATTTAGATCATAAAATGAATAATCTAGAACTAAGAGACCGTTGGGTTTGGCCTTCGACACCAGCTAATGAACTTTCTGACAGGTCACCAATCAATCCAAATCTTGTTGAGCGAGAGGAGATGGAAGAACAGGCTTTGGTGGAGACTGAAGAAGAGACGGACTGGGTAGAGCAGTACAAAGAGAGGAGAAGGAAGTTTCTAGATGGTGATAATGATGGAATGAAACTATTTGATGTTTGGGGAAGGATTCAAAGAGGATGCACTAACTTGCAAGAAGAGAACACCATGCAAGAAATGGGTTTTCCCTCACCACCGCCACCTGTCTACTGGGATGAGAAGAGCGGCGACTACAAAGAGGAGCCCGAAATACAGTCCTGTGACGACCAATGGTCAAACTTTGATCTAAGTGCTAACTCAAAGCCCGAATATGTGCCTTACCAGATCTACCCCGAACCAAGAGCCCACTCTACACAAACTAACCCTAATGCGGACACCCCTGGTGCTGAAAACAATTGCAACTTTACTCCAGAACCTCATAAATCCTTGAAATCACATTCAAGCTTTGACCCTTGCTCTCCAGCAGTGTCGCTTTTTGCCTTGGCTGTATTTCAGAAGGCTAATCGTTCCAAACTAGGGCTGGATCCCACCTGCTCCTGAAGACGGGAGCTGTCCACGCAGACACAGTGAGTAAAATGACTCGCTGAAATATTAATAGAAGGTTCTTAATATTAATGAAATCATATACATTTATATGTTGTGAATGGTTAAAGTAATTGCTAAATTACATTCCACATTCAAATGTCAACCAACTTGATGACCCTCACATGTTTGATGGAACTTATTGGGCCAAAACATACAGTATACTGTTGCAAAGTTTGGGGTCAGTACATTTTTTTACAATTTTATTCAGCAAGTTATGTATTGTACAGCAATGATGTATTCAGATGTATGAAATTGATCAATGGTAGGCTATATAAAGACCTTAATAATATTAAAAAAGTTTCTATTAAAAAAAAACTGTTCTTTTTTTCAAAGAATCCTGAAAAAAAGTTCATTTAAAAATATATTGACTAAATATCGAGCATCAAAATTGTTTTTAACTGTGATGATTAGAAATGTATCTTAAGCACGGCAGCAAATTAGATTTATTTTTGAAGTAAAATGCAAAAAAAAAATTAATTGCGTTTTAAAATGTATTCAAAAAGAAAACAGTTATTTTAAATTGTAATGATATTTCACAATATTACTGTTAATTTGATTTTAAAAAATGCAGCCTTCATAATGACTCGCATAAAAGACTCTCAAAAACATTAAAAAAATGTTACCAACCATAAAGTTTGGAACAGTGTTGATCTTTTTCATCGGTCAGGAAACTAACAGAATTAAAAGGATGTATAGGCCTCTTTCAAATGTATTGGTTAGCTCATTGTCATAAGGGCAAGGTGTGTCTGGGTAAGGAAATGAAGAGTGTGCGTGTAATGTAAATGACGTCTGACAATCATAATAGTCTCTGTTTATTTAATGGGGATCTTCCTTCCTCTAAGCATGTTTTATGTGTGTTGCACATGTGTGTTTATAGTTATTGATGCATTCTTTCATGCATTCCAGAGTTCACAGCCCGAGCATGTTTTCTACACTGCCGTTCGAAAGTTTAGGGTCGGTTAGATTTTTTTTATTATTATTATTATTATTATTTTTTTTTTTAAAGAAGTCTCTTATCCTCACCCAGGCTGCATTTTTTTAATCAAAATGTTTTAGATATTGACCAAATTTCATGATTACAGTTTCATGGTGAGATTTAAGTTGGTTAATTGATGAGATTAATCACAATTATTTTCTTTTGTCTAATTAGACTAAGTTTATATCCAACTTCCAGAGATATGTGACTTGCTATGATGTCTTTTCCCCCAGATATTTGATGGTTAATGTATTGACTAACATGAACATACCATGAGGAATACATTTGTGACTGTGTTTGTTAATATTTGTTAATGTTAGTTAATACAAATACAGCTGATCATGTTAGTTCACAGTGCATTAACTAATGTTAACAAGATGTGTGAAATTAACATTAACAAAGATTAACAAATGCTGAAGAAATATTGTTCATTCTTAGTTAATGTTTACTAATGTATCCAACTTGCAGAAAGATGACTTACTATGATGTCTTTTTTCCCTCAGATAATTTATTGTCATTCTGAATATGGGAGTGTTCATTTGGCTTAAATGAGGAAGAGGTTTTCATCATCAGAATGAAGAGCAGGACACAGTCCTGATATTTAAACTCCTCATTTATCTTATCTGATTATTTGATTCTATGTTTCAATCATTATGGATATTTTGGTTGGATGAGGAAAAACTGTTTGAACACTTAATCTGAGTTTTCCTGTTCTGTCAACTGATTTTCACATGTCCTGAGAATGCTTTCAGAAAGGGTGATATTCATATGTATATATTGTGTATAAAAATGAAGGCTCTTATTCTGTGTTAAATTCTTATATCATTTTTTTTAAAGAAATTAGTCGTGAGAAACTTGCCTGGATACTATTTTCTACATTTTGTCTTTTGTATTTTTGAGCACAAGTAAATAAAATCTGCTCGTAAAAATTCACAGGCAAAGTATGATTCATCATTCTGTGTATTTTTGGCAGAATATAAAGTATTTAGTAGGGAACAAAAAAATTGTCTGATATTCCTATGTATAAATATAGATTCTACTAGCATATCTGATAAGGCCCTTAAAAATATTCTTGTTTGCCGTAACCCGACCGACCCTGTCAATTTAGGGCCGACCCAATTTTTTATTTTTTTTCCCTTTTAGTCCGACCGACTTGCCGGTTGTAACTTGCGTTCAGACCGACCGATTTTTTTTTTTCTCTTCAAACGACTAATTCAAATTCCATAAAATGATATTTTAGTTAGTATTGTGAAAGTTGCTTATGTCTACAAACGTAGGCTACGTTCTTTCTTTTAAATAAAAACCCGTGGCGTCATAGTCATCTGATTATGTTTACACGATTGGTTTACCCGTGTCACACTGTCTATAAGGCTTATACGTTCGCTTCGTTTCATTCAGTGTTCCCGCTTGGTAAACCCGGTATTAAATGGGCTGAATATCATCCATTTCTATATATAATAATAATATTAAACAATTTGTCTGATGCAATTTTGCTATTCCCAGTCCAGAAGAGAGAGAGCGATCTCTCACCCGGAGCCACAGCGCGAACAACATGACAGCCCTGCTTAATGAGTGACAATGAGGACAGAATGGTTACCTACACTTTAGATCTGGGATATTATTCTAATTGTATTTTAGATTTCCGCTTTCAAAGATTATAAAAAGATATTTGAGATGAAACCATTACAGACGCATTCTGTCTAGCGCAACTTCCTTCCCTTCACAGCGTTGCGCTGTCATTTCTTCCTAAAACCCAAACGTACCGTCAGAATCGGCACGATCGGTAATTGTTGTAAAATGCAGTCTGTACTGTTGCTAAACTGCGTACGGGTTCAATCATTAAAAGAGCTATTAAAAGCACAAAAGTCTGCGCAAGAGACGCTGTTCACAAGGTGATGCGTGCTCCGAAATGCACTGCAACGGGACAAGAAAAGTAGGCTATAGCCTCATTTTGGGCTTCATGTGTGCAGCTAAACTATCAAATATACATAAAATCTAAAATGACCTGCTCTGAGATTCATTTAAACACAGTTTATGTCTTAAATGGATGTGAATAGTTGGGAGGATATGGTGGTGCATCAGTCATCTGTTAGATCCGCACTTAAAGGGGCAGTAGTCTAATAAACATGTGACGATTGAGCCAGTAATGGGAATCAAACACAACAAAAGGCAGAGAAAAATCACTCGCAGCTCTTGAATTATTAACTTAAACTTTAATAAGCATTAATCTAACTATGATAAACCATGCAGTGTCATTTTACATTTGATTTACTAAATTAAATTTCTTTTCAGACAGCGCAACACACTTAACTGAAAAGTAGCTAATTTTAGACCTTTCTGAAATTAAAGCACTGTGTATATAGGCTAATTTGCTAATCTTTGTTTAATTGTATTCTTTGTTTCACCATGTGTTTGTACTTGTTTTTGCTTATATCTCATGTATTTGGGGAAAAAAAAGCCTGCACACTGCTGCATAACAAATACAGTAGATATTTATTCATTTTGTGACTGGCCTAAAAACGTAACCGGTTGTAGGTTGCAATAACACCTAGTGGTGGATGCACAGTTTGAAGACCCAGTCAGTGACGTCACAGTATGCAATTAAAAAAAAAAAAAAAAAAAAAATTCATGATCACCATGACCAAAATTTTGCTTTTTTTTTTACACTGAATCCTGGAAAAAAAAATATAGACCTACCTACCGACCCTTTTAAAAAAAAAAATTGCTGTTACTGCAAACCAAAATATTTTTAAGGATGGCCTAAGGAGCAGATGCTTAATAGTTTTAAAAAGCATTTTATTGCTTCTGGGTCCTTAGTGGAGTAGCCAACTCCTTTGCACTCAAACTATGATTTTGTCAGTGCAGAGGCTAGTTTTAAAAAGGAGGAGTTCACTTTTGTAAATATAAAGAGTTCTGATGTCCATAAAGCACTTAAATTGCTCGATATAAATAAATTACCAGGTCCTGCTAGTCTGGAATCTATCTATCTGAAATTAGCAGGTGATATTATTTCGACGCCTTTAACTTATTTTTTAATCTTTCATTAGATACTGGTGTTATTCCAGAAATCTGGAAATCAGCTTTTGTTCCGTTATTCCAACAATTCTAGACAATTATCGGCCAATTTCAAAGCTTTGTGTCCTAACAAAAATTTTAGAAAGTTTTATTAGTCACCTAATAAAGGCTCATATGACCTAATTAAGGTTTTTGATGAAAACATTCCAGGATTTTCTCCATGTCTCCAGCTTCAAAGGGCTTTAAACGACACCAGACGATGAATAAGGGTCTTATCAAGCGCAACATTCGGTCATTTAAAAACTAAATAAAAAAGTTTAAGTTTTATAAGCTCAAATGCTCGCCTTGCTCTGTTCTGTGATGAGCGTTCGTGACTCTCCTGTTCATCAAAATGAACAAATCTTATTTCGATTCGTGACTCGAAGGGTCCTTGATAAGACCCTTATTCATAGTCTGGTGTCGTTTAAAGCCCTTTGAAGCTGCACTGAAACTCTCATTTGGACCTTGAAATGTTTTTTTTTTTGTTTTTTTTTAAGTGAATTACTCCTTTAAAAGTTGACATTGTGGGAACAATGGATAAAAGTGATTATTGCGCTTCCCTTTTTATTGATTTATCAAAGGCTTTCGACACAGTTGATCATGGTATCTTGCTGCATATGTTGGTTTATCAAATCAAGCTATTTTCTGGTTTAAAAATTATTTAAGTGATAGAACTCAATGTGTTAAGGCTGAAGGTAAAAATTCACGACTACTGGAGATTGCAAATGGTGTCCCTCAAGGATCTGTGTTGGGGGCTCTTTTATTTACCATTTACATAAACAGTCTGGATTATGATATTCATTATTATACATTATTATACTAATTTTCATTTTTATACAGACAACACTGTTATGTATTGTGGTGCTCCTTCTAAACGGCAAGCCTTGGTCAAGCTTCAAGTGGCTTTTGATATTATTCAGTCACGGCTTCATACATTAAAACTTGCTCTGAATGTTGACAAAACCAAAATTAAGTTGTTTTCAAGTTCAAAAAAGGTGGTAGACAATACTATTCCTATCCAGACTTTATGAGGTAATGTGATTGAGTTAGTAAAAAAAGAGTATAAATATCTTGGCACCTCTATTCTTTGGATGCCGTCTATAGCGCTTTGAGATTTATAACAGATTGTAAACCTGTAGCCAGTAGCCTGGCCCTCTTTGTCCATTAGAAGGAAAATGCACCATTATTTATTTATTTATTTATAAGGCTATTCTGGGGTTGTTGCCTTTATATCTAAATTGTCTAATTCATAAAATAAGTATTTTTAAAGTATTCCCTCCGGTCTGAAAATTGTTTTACCCTCTCTGTTCCACTTGTAAGAACTGAATTGGGAAAAGTGGCTTACATGTATGCAGCTCCATTTGAATGGAATCGACTCCAAGCGGCATTGAAATAAAAAAAAACTGGTGCCTCTGGAACATTTCAAAACTATTATTCAGTCACTGGAAGAAGAGTCGATGTGCAACTGTTTGTTATTTTATATTTGTTTGTGGTTTTTAATTTTGTGACTTTGTTACTGTAACTGCTGTCCATTCTTGGCCAGGACATTCCTTTGAAAGAGATTTTTAATCTCAGAGCGACTATACTAGTTAAATAAAGGTCAAATAAAATAAATAAATAATTCAGATTTGGAGAACAATATCAAAGTCAGAGAGTGGGTGGTGATGTGTTGTTATTGTTAAACTCCAAATAGCACTATTATACTGTATGGCAGATGTCATCCAAAGCCATGCATAATGGAGAAATTCACGTAATCATTTACTAAAAATCTTGCTGGGCACTATAGCTCTTGCAAATTCAAACAGCAAAAACCATACAACTATTATGCTAAATTAAAGGGTTGTAAATGTTTTCTGTGTGCTAAGTGGATTGTTTGTTAGCTCATTGCTATAATGTAGCCCGTTCAACATTCTAGATGGCAGATGCTTTTGTCTACAGAATCTACTTATACTTACCCCTAGACATTGTCCCAGAGAGTAGGTCTAAAATACTTGAGAAAGCTGATAGCATTCCCATTTATGGCATTTGCTCATTTGTTTCATAAACTTGAAGTAGATTAGAAGTAGCTACATGACCTGGAGGCCGCCATCTTTATTCATTAAGAGATCACTCACTGTCGCACGATCTTTCAACCATGTTGACCCTATACCTACAGGAGAAAATTATTTCTAGGTGTAAAATGTTTGCTTGTAAACTCATTTAGAGTAACTGATGTTCACTAGGGGGCAGTATACCAATAGTGATAAGAGCTTGTGAACCGTGTATTGTGCACGTCAAACACGTTTTCCTTTCACTGATCCTAATGTAACTCTCATTTTTTAAATGATAAACACAAATTTCAGGAGAGCCTTTCAACCAGAGACACAATGTTGTTTTTAGAAAGGCCTACCATCCATTTTCTGCTACTAACATTTTTTTTCTGTGTGTCAAGACAAGTTTTATAGGCTTCATAAAATTGAAGGAAAAAGCTGTCGGCGTTGCTTTATTCTCTGGGCAGTCAAATACATTAAAAAGGATGAAGTTTATTTATCTTCCTGGCTTTTTTGTTTGAAGAGGACTCTCTCAAGGCCGCAACAGCTTGCAGAGTGGTTGCATCTCCACCTTTTAGACCTTCAGCCATTTCAGATTTTCCTCTTATTTCCAAGGCGTGTTTTCCTGCCCTCTGAGACACCTCTCCATGGTGGGTAAGAATGGTTTTCCAACAGACATGGCTGATTTAAT